CTCAAGTAAAACGCAATATTATTATAAATTCAAATCAGAAATACAAAGAGTGCGATTGGTATTAAGTAGATATTATAAATAGGAATTATAATTATTACGTTTTACAATGAAATATATCATTCATTTGGGTTCTTTTATTGTATTTATGTTGTAACCCTTTATTTTTATTCTATTATCAATGTTTTTTATTTTTTTTGATTATATTTTATTAATCATTATATTATTTATGTATTATTTTCTTAGTTATTCCTTAAAAACGCCTATTATTATTATTATTATTTTACATAGCTCATTATATTTGCGTAACTTCTATTCGAAATTAGGTTTTAAAATAGTTTCATGAAACTAGAAGTATTTTTGGTCTGTAAAATAACTTTACTTAAAACTTCTAAGTAATGATAATATGTAAAATTTTGATGAATATTCAAAAGATTTACTCATCTGTATAATTTTTCTGGCATAGTTACTCAAATTTAATAATTTTGATCTGATCACTTATGGATAAAAATGTTATCAAAATATTATAAATAATTATTTTATTTGAAAAATGTGACTGCGCTCTCGATTATTGGTGACGCTAATGTTTTTCGAATCGATAAGTTGCGAAGTTGAAATCAATAAGTCACCGATGTCAGTCAAAGTCAGAAACTCGATTCGGTTCTGGACAATTCTTTTATTTGTTTCAAAATTTATGAAAATAGCTGTAATTCTCTTTATTATCCGATAAGAAGGTTATTGAAAATACAATTCTAAGATAATTAAAAATTTGCTCGCTACTAAAAATCTTTTCTATAAATTATTTAACTCTCCGGAAACTAAATCGCTATCTTCGAACCCTTAGTCTGGAGATAGCAATATGATTTCCGGAGAGTTAGATGATTTACAAAAAAGATTTCGGGTATATGAGCAATTTTTACAGCTGTTTTCATAAATTCTAAGATAGCTGAAAAATTTTCCAATGACCAAATCGATAAGTTGCTAAAACTGAATAAATAAGTTACCGGTGTCAACCGACAACAAATTATCGATTCGGTCATCATCAGTTTTCAAAATGTCCCAGAATTATACAGTAAAACAGATGTAATTTGTCCCAGAAATTATGAGAACGGCTATGATGAACTGGTCTTATTAGGGATCCAACGTTAATTATCCATGAATTATGCTGATAGGTATGGTGAATCAGTGTCGTCAATGGACGAAATATAATTATGGGTCCTTAATAATTTTTTAAATTTATAAAACTGTATAAATATTTAGGCATTCTTGGTCTTTGAGTGTTGTTGGATGTGGCAAAAAATCCTTGGACATCAACAATGTACAACACTCTGGGAGTTAATAATACTCAATGCTAAACGATATACATTGGAATTAGACCAGTAGCAAGGTTGCCATTACGCGACGTTTAATAGAACCCATTAGACTACTATACATCTAACCAACTCTGTTTAGGTGGTATTACAAGTTGACCAAATACGAAATCTGTTCACCGAAACGCGCATTCCTATTTTTATGCGAAACAGTTTAAATATGATGCAAAATATACTATAAAAACTATTAACTTATATTAAAAATATACATATGAATATAGTTATGTTAAATATATCTGTTGATAAGTAACTATATTTAAAATTAATCATTCCAATAAAGGCTTAATTTCCCAGAATAATAAGCCAATAACATTAAAATAAAAATCACTGCAATTTCTTGAGTACTAAATCTTAAAGATGTCGGATAACTTTTCGATGGTGGTGGAATATGAAACTTGTACAATTTGTGTTCAGTTCGTATAGGAATAACCTGTGTACGTTGAAGGAAGAAGTAAGTTTTAGACAATCTTGGAATAACAGAATAAATTAGTAAAAAAAAAAAAATTAACCTCATCTTCTTTATTTTGTCGTGATTTGTTTTGATCTAAAGATTTAAAAATTAATCTTTTGTATTAAATATATCAATTATACGTACTTAAAGAATGTTATTTCTTACCTTTAGAAAGTTTTATTACTATGTTTGTTTGGTTCTTAAATTTATTGTTTGAAGCAACAGATTCATCATTTGTTCGCGTTGCTGCACTTTTATTAGTATCATCTTTCTTATGGTTTTTGGGCTTTTTCAAACATGATGTCAAACTAGGATCGATTTCTTCTAAAGTCACAAATTTTTTGCTTCTAAATGTATTTTGAGTTCCTTTGGTATTTTTCTGGACCTTGATATGTAATGTTTCCGTGCCATCTTGAACGGTAATACGAACAACTTCACCGTCATTTAGTAATTCAGCTTTTGCATTTTCGGGTTGAGCTGAAATATCAAAACCATCAGGGTACATTTTTTTTGATATTCGAAGTTCTACAATTGTACCCCCATCAATTGATATTGTAACATCATATTGGAATGTCTTTATATTAAACTCGACATTTTTTATCAATCCGGAGGCGCTTAAGATATATGGTGGGAACCCTATTTTTTGTAATGAATCATCAATATTAGCAATACGCAATGGTACTTGCATTGACAACATCTTAAGAATTGATTGTGGGACTGAATTAATTTTGAGGTCAATGTCAACAATATATTTGACATCAACGCTAACTATTTTTTCACCATCGAAATTTGGACGTAAGACCCATCCAGCAATAACTAAATTGGCTCTAACATAGTTTTTGCTCTCTGGAGCTCTTGGGTCTACTATTGATGTGTTAGCAACCCAAATTGTACCAGTAGCCGGATCACGTTCAGTTATGCTAATGGCAATGAAGTCACGGCCACTGTAAATAAGTATAATGCGTGAATAATTAAGTAACTTTGAAGTTTATTGTTAATTTACTAAACTCAGATACATGTATGATACTTAATTATGACATATTAAAAATTTACCTTAAAGGGAAAGTACCCTTCATTGCTACTCTTGTTAACGCATAATCAAAACTATAACGTTCTATGATAGAACCATCTTCATATCGATCGTCCCCTATATATTGAGATATAATGAGATTTCGGTATCAATTTTTTATAATAGATATGCACAAAAGTTACTCACACAATTTTCGCGAATCTAAATTATTAATGTATGAAAGAATATCGGTAGGGTAAAATCCACCATAAATTGTAACATCTCCACGCAAATATGGCATTAGTTTTCCACTATCCTTTTGATAAATCTTAACACCTTTAGACTCTGCATAAAGATCCCAACCATCCCAATTATTAACCAAGAACTTTAACAATTCAAGAGCTTTTTTTGCATTATTATAATAATCATGTGATGTTACTGGTTTTTTGATTAACTTTGAAGGGTCTTGAGATTCAGGTTTAGATATTATTATTGGTTTTTTAGAGGAAAGTTCAGATGTTATATTTCTTTCTGGTGGAATAGGAAAATCCGGAATTGTTTGTTCCGAATCATCCTCATCTTCTTTTATATATCCAAGGAAACTATGTCTTCCATGCCTATTCTTCTCTGGCACATTATTATCTGGCACATTATTATCATTGAAGTTACTTGCTTGCTTTGAATGTTGAAGACTGGAACTTCGAGGAGGAGGTGTGAAACCGGGGTTTTTATGTCGATTTTGTAAAAATTCCTTGACAGTATTAATTACAAGAGGCCGCTTAGAAAGATGTACTTTAAACATGTTGACAGGTACCCATCCTTTCATTTGAATAACATATAATATTTTTGTACAGCGTGGTGAATCAGAAATGGACTTAAGTATCCAGCCACTGAGTTTTAAATTCTCTCGGTTTCCAACACCAAAAGATGGTGCTTTTAGAGTCTCGACAGATGTAGATGCATAATAAATTGTTCCGCTTTTACTACGTTCAAAATTTTCTACCATTGACAAATCTCTGAGATGTTAATAAATAAATAAATCAATAAATAACAAATGTATGTATGTATATATAGACATTATACGTATGTTGTTATTACATAATTTTTACCAATATATTACCTGGATTTAAATGGTTTTTTCATGACAGTATAAGTTAAACTTATCGACTCGCTCAATCTTTCAATGAGACATCCTCCTTCGTACCTATATAAAGTAATTAATATACGTTTTTCATTATCAATCAAATAAAAAAATTCTTACCAATCATCCCAGATTTCTCTTGACTTAACGACGGAGAAAATTTCATCAGGTGTAAATCCTTGTATATTTAATTCTCCTTTAATCAATGGAGTATCTTCATCTGCTAAAGTATCCTGCTTCATGTAAACAACAACTCCACTACTATGTTCAAACATCTTGTTCCAGTCAGATTCATTAGCAACGGTTTTCAATGTAGATAAAGCATGTTTAGCCTTTTTTACGTGATAAAGAGGCGTCATTTTTAATGGATCAATCTGATGAATCCCAGTTTCATATTCCCTAATCGATCTATTCGACCTATCCGACAGTCTTTTGTGAGATTCACCATCAAATTCCATTATATCAAAAATTATATTATTATCATTAAATTTTACAGAACAATTAAAGAATGTAGGAAATTATTGTAAGAGGAGACGGAGAATTAACAAAACACTGAAGAGTTGGTCATGGAGTATTTTTACTGAATAAAATATCTTTTTTGTCATGTTATTTTTTTATCTATCATTAACAAATAAAGTTGTTATATTATATTTTTCTTCATTGGCACGTGTAGAAGATATACTATCATGTTTCCATTTTGCGTTATCCATAAAACGCGAAAATCTTTTATAAGATATACATTTTTAACCGACATCACATAGGATTAGGATTAACATTTTACATATATATATATATATTAATAGTAAATTGTCACCCGTGTGATGTCGGTTAAATGAACTTTTAGATTAAATGGGTGATATCCCATCATTAAATGACTGAGATAATATAAGATACAGTAAAACTACGAGGTTCAATATATTAGCTAGAGAGTTAAAACTCACCTAGCTTACGGATCAGATAAGTTATTTACCCGGATCAGCCAAACGAGGTATAACAAGTAAACAAATGAACAATAAAGTAAACTGAGGTCAAAACTTAGCATACTTATAGCGAATCCGGTTCATTTCACCGAAAATCAGAAAAGTTTATTTCACCGATAGTACGATTCACCGACAATACGTTTCACCGACAAGTTTTTTTTTCTAAATTACACTAACCTTAACTCTAATTCTAGCCTGACCCTAACGACAATGACCAGAATTACTTTGTCGGTGAAATGACTGTCGGTAAATCGTACTGTCGGTGAAATGAACTTGTCAGTGAATTAAATGTCGGTGAAATGATCGGAGCCGCTTATGGTACCCAGGG